ATTCTTCCGGTCACATGCTCTTCTCACTTCTTGTTTTTATAAAACTCATCAACACACTGTAATGCTCCTCTGAGCCCATTTTATGTTACATACAGTTAACACCAATGATGTGTGGAACAGATGTGATGCTACCTTTTACCACAGCTTTGTGTTTAAGTGAAATATGACAGCAGACATTAATAAACCGACTCCAAGAAATAGGTTTTCCTATGGGAGGAGAAGAGTTTATTTTTAACTATGTGAACATAATGACATGTGACCTGGGTTCTCATCTATTAAAATGAGACACATTAGTGACTGCAGTTGCTGAACATTGCTGTGTTGCTTTTTTGTACTGCTACTCTGTTTTTTCTATCAAGATTCACAGAGTTAACACAGGTTTAATGCTGCTAGATGGATCACACTTAAAGCAATTAAGATGCTCAGTTGTGTGTATGTGATTTTTCTTCATTTGGCTAAATTTGAGGATCAAAAAATTGAAATGTTAGAGATACTAGGAGTCTTGTTCTTTTTTCAAATCTAAAATTATATGTCCATTTGACTTCCCATTTACGCTGTTACCTGCCAGGAGATTTTACTGAACGGTATTCTGCAAATCGTTGAAGCCAACATGAATGTGGAACCTCTTCACTTCCTGACCTTTCCAATAATTCTTGGGGCTTCAACGCCAGGAGGGGTGTCTCCTGCCTCCAGACAGAATGGTGCTGCTGGGGGAAAAAGTGTCGGTGTGCTCTGGAAGGGCAAACGGTCTGCTGGGTGCAGGGAGGAGGATGCAGAACACAGACCAAGCCACTTCCTTTCCTCTCCCTGGCATATTGCACCTCTACACTTGCCCCTGGTCGGGCAGAACTGCTGGCCCCACATGGCCAGTGGTTTCAGTGCCTCTATGTGGCTGAGGGTGGCAGAGCAGGAGGAGGAGGAGGACAGGGGCAAAGACAAGGGTGAGAAGCAGATCCTCCATCAAGACCTTTTTAGGCCTGAAGTTCATAAATATGAGCTAAAGATTCTCTGCTCCTTGTATTCCAGAGGAGCATACTGCAGCTGAGTTGCACCATGGCTCGAGGCAGGCTGGGACGAGATTGGTAGAGGAAGGCCTCGTTCATATTTTGTCCATGGGCTCCAAGGCATTGATGCTTCAAGTGTGGGCAGACTTCTCTACAGGCTCTCTCACATTCAGGTGAACTCCATCATAGAGTAAAGTCTCAACAATGTGCTTGAAGAATGGGTTACTGTTTAAGTATTCACAGTTTATGGACCTTGAAGTGTTGAAATGTGGTGTTCCCACAGAATTTGTATAGACCCAAACGATGAGATAAAAGCAGGGCTGTTGGCACAGGCAGACTCTGGCGACGGACTGCTCAGGCCAGGCCAGTGGCAGCACCTCGGCCTCACTTACGCCCAGCAGCCAGAGGGCAAGAAAAACTTCTGTGGCCGTGTAGCTGTCTGGGTGTGTGGTATCAGGTGAGGAACATGAGTAATAGCAAGAGTAAGAATCTAGCATGTTGTTTTTAAACATGGTCAATTAATGAACTTGAACTTCGACTTAAAACTACTCTTTTGATTAGGAAATGTGAGGTTTCATTGGACTATACCCTACCCAGAAAGTCCAGTTTATCATCTGACAGCAACAAGACTTTCTGCATGCTGGGCCACTGTACGTCATCCTCTGAAGAGCTGTTGGAACAGGGTGGAGGCTGGAGCATGGGCACTGTGCTTCTCTTCAATGGTAGGACTACTTTTAACCTCTCTCTCATTTATCTGTTGGCTCTTAGATACATAATCCTAATAAGATTCATCATCTAACTTAACGGGCAGATGTGCATTATGATTTAATCCTTTGTATAGTTTTATCTGTTGTCAGTGCTACTCCTCGATGGTACATTGATTACCACTTTCTCTAGATACTGCACATAAATGGGTTTGTGGTGTAGATATATTTGAAAAGAACATTTAGTCTATTTGCTGTAAAAGACTGGCTGGTGTGTTGTTATAGATTGTCCACATTCTCTTGTGAAGCATACTGAATACTTCTCTTATTGTCTCCAATTAACTGTAAATGGCTGAAACAAAACTGATGTCCTCAGACAAGTTATTACTTTACAGCTTTTTGATGGAATAATATCAATCATTTACTCATTTACTCAATATCATCATTTACTCATATTGAGCATCGATTTTTACTCACAGGATATATTGAGGATCTATTTTGGATTTTTTACGATTTACTTTTCTGGAAGTCCAAAGATGTCTAGTCAAGGGGAAAAATATAATCTAAAGCATATTTTGTGGCTTTTGAGCTGTTTGTTATTCTCACAAAATGTTTACCTGCGTATTTCAGGGTCTAGAATAGGATCTGAGGAGGCATTCTACTTGTACACCAACGGGCCTGACCTCACCTCGATCATGCCCTGCAAATATGGCAAGCCTAGTGGAACATTTTGCAAATTTGTTACTCATGAAGGGCTGAAGTTTGACCATGTACGAGAGATTCTGATGAAGAGCAAGGACTTGGACACAACAGCTTTAGTTGTAAGTCTTTCTTTACTCAGCATCCCAATAACAGCACAAAACATGCATTTATAAAATATGAAATAAACATAGATATGTTTTATTTCTGCATGACACTTAAACAGAACCCTGTACTTTGTGACTCAAGTGCTCTGTAAGCATAACAAATCCCTCCCACCACTCATTCATTGTTTCATTTCACAGTGTATGAGTTATGTACTGTTCCAATTAGTTGTCATTAATGATTCTGCATGGTAGGATGTAATTTTTCCCCAATGGAAAAAGCTATTACCATTAAGCTGCAGCTATTTCAGAGTGGCTGAAAATAGTTTTTTTCCCATTAATTGCTAACCGCTTTGTTGATAATGGCTCTGCTGAGCAAAAAGAAAAGAAGGGAAAAAGACAAGAAGAATGAAGAATTTTCCCTTCACATATTTATAACTTCTTTTGTACTCCAGCGAAGTCTAGCCCAGATCTGAATCTATGCTATAGGCTGGTTGAACTGCTTATTTAAACAAAAACATCTACTTTAAACCTAATATTATACATTTTTTAGTATAAAAAAATGACAGGTCTGCCAAAAAAAGATAAGTGTGTGGGTTGTGTTTCTGCATAGGAGAGTTTAGCAGTAGTGTATGCCCCCGGAAGTCCCAGAGTCTACACCATCTATGAGCCTGTAATCAGACTGAAAGGTCAGGCGAAGACTATGGTTACTCAGCGGCCCTTCAGCTCTAAAGAAGTGCAGAGTGTTTCCCTGGAGCCCAACGCTCTCAGGGCTCTGCTCCCCACTGAAACTCAAGGCCTGCAGAGTGTGCTGCACAAGATCGGAGGAACAGGAAGCTTTGTCTTCCTCTTTGCACAGGTGGGTTGACCCATATCTTTAATAAAGCTGTTGAGATAGGGGTTATGATATTGATGAAATGATGTGAAAGCTAGACAGATATGTTCCAGACAGGAAAAATGAAGCCAACAAATTCAAGAGCATTAATGTAGTTTTACAGATAATTCACCTGAGCAGAATCTAGAAGAATGCGTCTCATATCTTCACATGCGCACCCTCACATTGATTGGATTAGATTCTGCCTGTCAGCTTTTCCTCTGCCTGTACACCACTCGTACTCCTTTGCAACTCTTTGAGCTGAGAAACAATATAAACAGCAGAAAGCAAAGGACGGTCATTTATAATTTAAATGTCAAGTTTGGAAACCCATGTTATTTTGAAGTCTGTTCATAGCTTCGTAAAGGCTACAAATATGCAGCAGCTCATGAATCTTTCAGCACAAAACAAAGCAGTGTTATTTCCAGAAGTGTTTTGAGACTTCTTGTTTTGAAAATGTGACCTAGTAAATTACAGTATGTTACAGGCTCCCTACTTGGCCGGATGAAGAAAATCATATCAGTGTTGTTGCACTTGTAATGTTTTCCCAATAGAAATCGTAGCGTAATGTCACTTTCAAAGACAATGTTGGCTTAAGTTGTGCATTTTGTGAGTATTTACTGCATTTACTGTAGCAGGAACAGTGTGAAGTAATGTTATAGAAAGAAAGCAGCACATAAATGCATTTTCAGACCTACATTGTTGACGTTCATGCTTCTTCTCTGTGTTTTTGAAATCTGTCTTCCTTTGTCATCCTGCACTCGGGCTTTGCGCTGTCCAGACGGTGGAGCTGAGTGACTGTGAAAGGACCCAGGCTCTGGCCCTGCGGGTGCTGCTCTCTTTGTCCAAGTTTAACCAACACCGTATCCACGAAATGGACTGTTACTATGGTTACTCTATGATCCACCAGGTCCTCATCAAGTCCAAATGCATTGTGGGATATCATATGCTGAAAGTGAGTCACACTTTGAAATCTTTGCTGGCTTCTGTTCCCAGAACCACTACTAATATGTGCAATGAAACGTATTCATCATCACTTTACCATGAATCCAATCCAGCCTGACACACTGGTGCCTCTCTGAGCCAGTGACGGTGACCCTGCTGTTACTTGACCCTCTGGCTGTGTCTGTAATTGAGCTGTGTGGCAAGTGTGTGTGCTGAAATAGATTCTGATTAACTTGATAAAACACTGAACTCCTGCAGAGTCACACAGCACCTCTGATTGCCTTTCTTGTTCTAGGCTTCTAAATATAGTATTGTATAGATAGATAGATACTTTATTGATCCCGAAGGAATCCTGTGTGCTGCTGCTGTTGTTGTCATTGTTCTTGTCATTTTTGTCGGTATTCTGCACCCCTGCCCAGATTACTTTTGATGAGTTTTTGAACATCCGACAGCTCAGTCTGGACGTTTTTTCTCCGGTTTTCACCAAGAGTAGAAGCTGTTTGGACATTTTAGCTGGTGGAGCAGCAGCTGTTTTCAGGACTTGGAGACGCTGAAGAGGGCTGGTGCCCTTGTAAGGCTACAACGCCGGGCTTACCGAACTTCACTCCCAGCCATAGATCTAGCAAATCTCCATTCCCTAGCGAACCGCTGCTCACCAATCAGACAAACTAACTTTAAATGTTCTGCAGCGTTGTGTTTTGTAGAGATGTGGCTTAATGAGTCGATCCCTGATGAGGCTGTTCAGCGGCCAGGATTTCAGATCGGACTGTGTGAAGGAATTATCTGGAAAAAAGAGAGGAGGAGGCATCTGTTTCTACATTAATGGAAGTTGGTGTAGGGATGTCACAATGCTAGAGAGAATTTGTAATATGGACTTAGAGGTATTATTCATTAACTGTAAACCATTTTATTCTCCTAGAGAACTTTCCTTGTTTGTCCTGGTTGGTACATATATTTCGCCACAGGCCTGCATTAGAAATGCGTTGCAGCTCCTAGCCAACCGGATAACAAGTATAGAACGGAAACACCCAGATTCCCTGCTCATTATCCTGGGGGATTTTAACAGAGCAAACCTTACCCATGAATTGCCCAAATACAGACATGTCAGTTATCCCACCAGGGACAAAAACACACTGGCCCGTTGCCATACTGTTATTAAGAATGCCTATCACTCTGTTCCCTGTGCAGCTTCTGGGCTTTCAGACCATTGCGTGATCCACCTCATTCCCACTTAACAGACAGAAACTTAAAGCTGTGGTCAAAACAGTGTGAAGATGGACTGAAGAGGCAAAGTCAAAGTTACAGGCCTGCTTTGACTGTACAGACTGGGGTGTTACTATACTGACATTGTGGTATCATATACTGTATCAGCTTCTGTGAGGACATGTGTGTGCTCATTAAGACTCTCTGCACATGCAATAACAATAAACCTTGGTTCACAGTGAAGCTCAGACAGCTCCGTCATGCCAAATAGGCAACCTATATACAGGTTCCCTGTATAACCAGGCTAGAAACACACTGGCAAAGGAGAGGAGTAGCAAAGAAGGGCTACTCTGAAAGCCTGAATGAGCCGATGTCAGTGTGGAGGACCCTACGGAATATCACCAGTTACAGGAGACCCTCCTGTTGTGGAGAGCTATTAATTGGCTGACGAACTGAATGAGTTTTATTGTAGGTTTGAGAGGCAGAACTCTACACCCCTCTCTCACCCTCTCTGGACCCGCAACCTGTAGCTGCTTCCCCCAGGACCACCTCTCCCCCTTCAGCCCACCATCCCTGAGGGTCTGTGAAAGAGATGTGTGCTTTTTTTAAAAAACAAAAACAATAAGGCAAGCCCAGACAACATGACCCCCTCCTGTCTGAAAGTCTGTGCTGACCAGTTGGCTCCCGTTTTTATGCAGAGTATAGTTCCCTCCTGTTTTAAATGTTCCACCATCATTCCAGTTCCCAAGAAACCCTCCATGAGGGAAGTGAATGACTACAGACCTGTCGCCCTGACATCTGTCTCTCATGAAGTGTTTTGAGAGACCGGTGTTGGCCCACCTGAAGGCCATCACAGACCTCCAGCTGGATCCCCTGCAGTTTGCCTACTGAGCAAATAGGTCAGTGGATGATGCAGTCAATATGGCACTGCATTACATCCTGCAACATCTTGACTCACCAGGGACCTATGCACAGATCCTATTTGTGGACTTCAGTTCGGCATTCAGCACCATCATCCCAGATGTCTTCTACTCCAAACTAACCCAGCTCGCTGTGCCAGTCCTCACCTGTCAGTGGATTACCAGCTTCCTACCAGACAGGAAGCAGCAAGTGAGGCTGGAGGAAAACCACATCCAACTATCAGCACAGGTGCCCTTCAGGGATGTGTGCGCTCCCTGTTGTTGTTCTCACTCTATACCAATGACTGCATCTCAGAAAACACCTCTGTAAAAATCCTGAAGTTTGCAGACGACACAACAGTCATCGGCCTCATCCAAGACGGTGACGAGTCTGCCTACAATTGGAAGGTTGAACAGCTGGCCCTGTGGTGTGGTCGTAACAACCTGGAGCTGAACACGTTGAAAGCAGTGGAAATGATAGTGGATTTTAGGAGGAGCTCCCCCACCCAATATCTGCTCATTGTACTCAGCAGCACTATTTCAGTCATGGAGTCCTAGAAGTTCCTGGGCTCCACAATTTACAATTTCCTGGGCTCCACAATCTCTCGAGGCTTGAAGTAGACTACCAACATCAGTACCATCATCAAAAAGGCACAGCATAGGATGTACTTCCTGTGTCAGGAGCTGTTCTCTGCTCATACATCTCTGTCTGGTTTGGCTTGGCAACCAAACAGGACAGGAACAGACTCTAGTGAACAGTCAGGACTGCAGAGAAAATCATCGGTGCCAGTCTGCCCTCCATGGAGGACCTGTACACCTCACAGTGCAAAAGGAGGGCAGAGAAGATTTCTACAGACCCCTCTCACCCTGGACACAAACAGTTTGAACTCCTTCCCTCTGGACAGCGCTACAGGTCACAGTACGCCAAAACAACCAGACACAGAGACAGTTTCTTCCCTGGGCCATTACACTTATGAACAGTTGGTCTATGTTTAAGGGTATGGCAGGATTCTGTACACATCACTGTACAACAACATACAGATGTACATTAGTTACAGTAGCTCTTTTAAATTGTATATTTGTATGTGTGTAGATCTTTGTTTTTTACTTGTGGTTTTGGCTTTGTTCTATTTTTATATTGTTGTGCACATCAGGGGCCATTGGACTGGAGGTCAAATTCCTTGTATTTTTGATAATACCTGGCACTAAAGTTTATGCTTATGCTTGCTTATAAAGCTCAGTCTACTAGGCGCCCAGAGGACTGCAAGATTTATGACCACTGCAGTGAAGTTGGGTGTAAATTATAGCTTTGATCAATACAGACAGGGCTGCTCAGGGAGTAAATGCCATTGGTTTTGATGGAATGATAAGCACTCCAAAAAATTCACGGGTAATTTATAGATATTTCTTCTGGCTGATATTTGGCACTGTAAGACTTTTTTTTCTGGAGAGGCAGTGATTATCAATACAGTATGTTGATGTATGTGTCTGATTAAAGTGAACAGCACTCTCATGTTATTAGAGAAGTACAGTAGAAGTAGTTGTATTTCTGATGTGGTGGCCAAACTGTGTTTCTGTAGACTCTGCTGGATGGATGCTGCAGTGGGCCCATCCTTGTCCTGGGGGATGACAGCCAGTTTCGTTTGGACACAGAGTCCATTGCAGTGGTGCAAGACATTAGGCTTCTGTCAGATATTCTGTTGGACTGGAAAATCTGGGCCAAGGCTGAGGTAAACATATACATCTCTACTTCCAGAATGATGATTATTAGAAACTAAAATAAAGACAGCACATAGTGTCAAATAACAATTGTGAACTGAAATATAAACTGAGTTTTAAATATTATTTAAGACAGCACATAGTGTCAAATAACAATTGTGAACTGAAATATAAACTGAGTTTTAAATATTATTTGTCCATGATCTGGTATTTTGTTGTTTGATAGTAAGAGTTGAGAATACAGTAGTACACAAAAGTGAGAATAGGAAATACTTCTACTGCAGCAGCAGCTCTGCAGTAGTTATGGGGGTGGTATTACTGATTTTGCACATCTAGTTTCTCCAAAGGTCTGCTAATTCCAGAAAGCCCAAAACATCATTGCCTAATGATGAACTGATAATACATTTATAGCCTACACCTCAGAAACTATTCTCAGTGGTCACATGCTCAGTTTTTATCATACCATACAATCCAAAAACTGAATCTTAAAGGTGTTAATTGACTGGTTAGGTATGGTATTTTTAAAATCTGATTTTATTATATGTGCATACACACACACACACACACACTGAACCCCACTATTAGGTGATGAAGAAGCATCAAGAATGTTTGACTCATTGGTGTCATTCCCTGTGTTGTTTCTGTCAGTGTGGAGTGTGGGAAACACTGCTTGCTGCCTTAGAGATTCTCATTAGGGTGCACCACCCTCATCAGGTCTTCAACATCCGTCAGTTCCTCAAAGCTGAAGTAGTGCATCGATTCCTGCTCACCTGCCAGGTCTTACAGGTAGGCAACTATCATGAAATGGCTGCTATGGTACCCTTCCTATTTTCAGAGACCAGTTATGACATTGTGTTTGTCTAAAGGAGCATCGGGACGAGTATCTGACCACCATTCCACAGGAAGTCTGTTCATCTTTTGTCAAGATCATCCAGGAGGTGCTCGGGTCTCCACCAGACATGGACCTGCTAAAACTGATCTACAACTTCCTGTTGGCTGTTCACCCACCTACCAACACCTATGTCTGCCACACTCCATCCAGCTTCTACTTCTCACTACACATAGGTAAGGAAGTAGTGCAGTTGAAAGCAGCATAGCTGTGTCAAAGTGCCAATAATTTAATGCACTTGCTTTTGATGTCTGTGCTTGTCAGATGGAAAGCTGTACCAGGAGAAGGTGCAGTCTATTATGTACCTGAGACGCTCCAACAGTGGAGGAAAGTCTGCCAGCAGCTCTGTGGTGTCCCTCTCCCCTGCTGTCCTCACTGATGCTTCCCATGAAGGTACAGCTGCTTCAGCTATATTACACTGACCTTAAAGAACTCCTCACACAGTGAAGATAATTAAATACTGTACAGCCTTTCAATGTGTTGCTTTGATAGACATTATAAACATTCATAGGTGAGCACTGCTTATATAAAAGCAAGGAAATTTTGCTTAGCATGTTTAGTGCTAAATCGGCCCTGTTTTTATCTCTGTGCTGAATTACAGTCACCAGTTTTATTTTATGTACCTAAAGTAAACATCATTACTTCTAGGAAAAGGCTGACTCACGAGTATTAGGTGGTTATATGTTTGTCAAGCTTCCTCTGCTTTTTGCTTAAAAAAAAAACAAAACCTAATCTATTGCTGCTAACAGCGGGTCCTACAGAGCACCTCTTTATTATGTTAAATATCTTTTTAACTATTTCATTTTATCTCTTTTGTCTGAGCTTGTATTGTTCTACTCAGTTTTATGTTTGGCTGTATAAATGAAAGAGATTTTACTGTAATTTGCAACAAAACAATGAGACTTTTTTTTTTTTAAACATCTGACATTTCCTGCACTTGGTTGTTTTACTTGTTACCACATTTAAATGTGCAGTTTTGTAAATGAACAGCCAAAATTCTGCTCTGCCACCTCTTGTTACTCATCACAGCCACATGTGTATCAGTATCGCTGTTTGCACTGCAAGTGTTATATAGTGTCCCTGCATACAAATAGGCACTTTCTAGTTTTCAGTTATCAAGTCTGATGATTTTTAAGCATTGGATCATTTTGTTTTGTTTTCCAGGCCCCTCCCCTGAACTTGGAGGTGATGATCAGTTGTTACGCCCACCTAGTTTTTCATCATCTCCATACTCCTCCCCTCTGCTAACGCCTCGACACCAACACGGAAGCTCAAATGAGGCAGGTGAAGGTGACAGCATTTCCCTCACCAGTCAACAGACTCTGGGCAGCACAGAGACCCTCAAGAAGGGCATATGTGATGAGCAGCTGCTCAGCAGCTGTGAATCCGCCAAAACAATCTGTGACCCCGTGGGCATAGGTGAGGCAGGAGCTCAACGCCCTCCTTCCATCAGCGTGGAGGAGGAGCGGGATGAGGCAGCAGAGGTGGACAGCCTGGCAGAAGGCAGCATTGGGGTCGCAGAGTCTGAGGACAGGTCTGACTGGGCCAATGATGAGGCGCCACGCCGCCCTGACAGTCTGAAAGGCATCCAGTCATTCCAGAGAAGCCACAGCAACCTGACCAGTCTTGGCCTCGCCTTCCCAGCTCCAAATGGCTCGTTGACAGTCAGCCGTTGGCCCAATGCAGCTGACCGAGGCTCCATGCCTGAAGACTGGGAGAGCTACACCTACTCTCCTGGCTATGAGAGGGCCCAGAGCAAGACCGACTCCAATGACAAGTATGCTAATACAGTACTCTAAAGCATAATTGAATTTCAGATTACAATATTACTGTGTATCAGAAATATTCATAAGATGATTTAAATGAATACTCCGTTTCCTCACTAATTATATTTTATTAGATTATTAGATTTTTGTTATACTTTAGTCAGCCCATACCAAACCATGGCCTATAAATGACTTGTAGTGAACATTAACGGTCTCTTTATAAACATTTTATTTATGTCCATGTGGATTATGTACATAACTAAAAAAGATAAATACCTTAACTACTCGGCAGCTTTCCTTTGATAGAGATATCCTATGATTTGCAAAATCGTCATGGTTATGGTTATGGTAACAATCCTCCTTAACCTAGGAAATGATCTTGACAGTTTTAGTTTACTACTGCCTGCCAGCCAGCTGCTGAGTGTAGATAACAGGAATCTTTAAAGGGATTTGTTCATTGTTGTCCTGTTATCTCAAAAGCCATCCTTGTGTTTTGTTAAACACTGTATCACAACAATTTTACAATTAACAGTATCACAATTATAGCACAAAAATGCATTTTTTTAAATTAACATATAAAGCGTTTTTTTTATTTTATTTTAATATACCTGAACATGTCATTTTGAGATCAATGACAGAAGGAATTTTGCTAGTTGATATTCCGCCCTGAAGTCTAATCTGTGTGTTTCAGGTCCAGCACGGAGGACTGCCTGGTGCTGATCTGCTGTGGACTCTATGATCTTCTGAGAGGAGTTTTGCTGCTGTTGCCTGACCTCATGCTTGAGGAGGTGATGGACAAAGTCATCCAGCCAGAGGCCCTCATTGTCCTGGTCAACCACTCGTCACCTCTTATCCAACAAGGAGTCATGAAAGTTGGTTCAGTATCTTACTTAATCAGTATCATAGACAGTAAAGCAGGTGAATTTGATTTAACACCAGAAGCAAGCACACAGTTCACAGCAAGTGAAACTGTCATATACAGTAAAAATCATTTATAGACAATTCCAAAAAGATAGAGATAGTATCACTATCAATATCAATAATTCAACTCTTGCATGACAGCAAATAAGTGCCCAAAATGTCAAGCTGTTGCTTTAATTATCCAGTTAAAAATTTTATCCCCTCTGCCTTAAAATTGTAGGAAAAAAGACTGTACTCTGAAATATGTGCTAGTGTGTTCACAAATTACATTCTGAAGATACCTCATATTATTTTGTATCTCTCTCCCAGCTGCTGGACGCTTATTTCAGCCGAGCCCTCAAGGAGCAGAAGGAGAAGTTCCTGAAAAACCACGGCTTCTCGCTGCTGGCCAATCAGCTGTACATCCATCAGGGCAGCCAGGGACTCGTTGAATGCTTCCTGGAGATGCTTTTTGAACGGCCAGTGGGCCTGGAGGAAGAGTGAGTGCACAGACAATATACATCTCAAACCATGTTCTATTTTTTTGATTGTAAAAATGTCTGCTATTTAAATAAAAATTTGGTGCACACAGAGTATTTATGCACATTTTACCATTGTTTTTCTTTCCCGTACTGCTTTCCAGTCTAGACTTGGATGAAATGGAAAATATCTCACCCTTCAGAAAGCGCTGCATCATCCCAGTGTTAGGTCTTATAGAGAACTCCCTGTATGAGAACTCCTTGGTGCACAACATCCTGTGTATGCTGCTGCAGCTCCTCAATGCCTGCCCCAAGCTGGCAGACATCCTGCTAGACCATGGGCTGCTCTACGTGCTCTTTAACACCTTCTCCACGCTCAATGGAATGGAGAATGGGTATGGCACAGAGGATGATTGATTCAAACACCTCCATGGGTTCATAGATTTTGTCTTGAACCTTTGAGCCATGAATTAAATCATTAATCCCTTTACTGTTCATCGATCTGACATATAGGAGTGGGAGACTCACTTGCTCTGCTTCATATTTTCTTGTTTTCCTCCCTCTGCAGTATTCCCCTGAATGACTACAAACTCCTGGTGTGTGACATCCAGCAGCTGTTAGCGGCTGGTGATAATCCCTTCCTGCAGTTTTCCCCTGAATGACTACAAGCTCCTGGTGTGGGACATCCAGCAGCTGTTAGTGGCTGTGCCTATCCACTCCTGCAGCTCTTCAGGGTCCCAGTACTTCCGCATCATCGAAGACCTCATTACCTTGCTGGGTTTTATGCATACCAGCAAGATGTGTCGCACACAGGGTGAGAGCTGGATTTCATATGCCAAATAAAATGTTTTCCTCTACTTTCCTGTGAGGTTCTGCATGATATCAAGCTGCCAAGCTTTGTTGCAGAAAGAAATTGTCATGCCATTATCTACAAAACTCATTTGAGAAAAAAATACAATTTGACAAATATCTATCTTCTCACTTAATGGGTTTCTCTCCTATGTCTCCTAATTTTGCCCAGTCTCTTTCCCAGTAGTATTGTTTCTTTGCTATTTTCCTGATCTGATATAATCATTGTGTGATCACAGAAAACAAAGGCATTATGGCTCTGTACATGGCACATTTTAATTTTGGTTGGTTATATTTCAGTAATTAATCATTTGTTCTTCATTGTCTTTTCCCAAGTGAGATTCAGTAGACGTTCTTAACTGTAAACATTTCTAAGTTGATCATTTGAAATTGATGAGTGCCACCTTGTCATGGGAAGATGTGTGTTTGAGTGATGTGTTGCTTGATGCCTGATCAGGTTAAATTCTGAAGTTCATTGTCTTGTTTTGTTCCCTAGAGATGGCAGTGGCTTTGCAGTTCCGTGTCCTTCAGTCAGCAATTGAGTTCATAAGGACCACAGCCAATCAGGAACCTCAGAAGCTGAGCAGTCATGTTAATGCACCCAGCTCTCCACATCATGCCATCTTTCAGAAGCGCAAGAGTATCGCGGGTGGGTATTTCAAACTGATGCAGCAGTAAAAACCTGCTCATCAGTTTTTCTGGTCCTACTTGTAGAGGAAGATTTGACCACCATATGTTTTCAAGCATTTCGTTGCTCCACTCTCACCTTCCTCTTCTTATCCCGATCTAAAGGTTCCATTGCCATGAAAGACTCCATTATCCCCCGCATCCCCAGACAGTACTGCTACTACTATGGCCAGGTCCCCCTGTCCCCTCCCTTCAGCTTCCTGTCCCAGGATTCCCCCCTCCCCTCCCCCCTAGGAGCTCCATCCTACATGTTCCACTGTGATGCAGGTAGCTCCAACTGCGGTCCACAGCAGAGAACATCCTCCCAGTCATGGGGCATGTCTTCCACTTTTGCAGTGAACTCACCCTTTCCCCACTCAGATTAATTTGCCCAGTACCCTTGTGTGCTACTGGTGCCTTTGTGTGGGAATGTTTGAATGCTTAACTAAATCGGTGTTAAGCATTTCAGAACGGATTGCATTTTGATCAGGGAATCTTTCTAATCTTTTCTGTGTTCAGTGATATATGAGACATTTGCATAAACTTGTTCTGAACTGGAAATAAAAAAAAAAAAGCGTGTGCTTTTGCTCCACAACTGAGCACATACTGTACCAATATTGTGTTTGTAGGCCGGCGCCGGTTCTCTCTGGCCCAGACTGACTCTCTCCTAATGCGGATGCGCTCTGTAGCCAGTGACGAGCTAAACCAGATGATGCAGAGGAGGATGAGCCAGGAAAACCCTATCCGAGCTAGTGAGACTGAGTTTGTTCAGCGACTGCAGAGGCTTGTGGTTCTTGCTGTCAACAGACTCATTTACCATGGTAAAAAAACTTGTTCTTGTTCTTCATATGTATCCTAATAGTCTTTGTTTTCTCCTCTGCTTGGCATGTGCATAAACTAAACTAGTTCTCTTTGTATGTGTCTCTCGCTTCAGATGTGAGTCAGGACTTATTTGACCTCCTGAATATTCCAGAGTCCCCAGACCAACAGCTTTTCACACCAGATCCAGGTGATCAACCACAGGACGAGAGTGGCTCCACCTCTGCCCCTCACTCTCCCACTCCCTTCACCCTGCCTCCTGCCAGCAAAAAGAGCTTTCAGAAAGACATCCTCAAACTGATGATGGATGGGATCAAAATCAGCCAGGTATAATGAAATTTGAAAGCGAGCTTTTTTAAGTTATAAAGAGCTAATTTCTTTGTGAGACCATATGTTGATGGTTGTGATTTCACAGGGCAGCACAGGTCGGGGCGGAGCCCCACATCAGCAGTGGCGAAGGATCCTATGGTCATGTCGAGACACTTTTCGGGTCCAAATCGGCCGCCTGCTGGTGCACACACTTAGCCCTGCACGTCCCCTGTCTGACAGAAAGGAGGCACTAGAGTTTGTGTTTGATCCCAGACATTTGGATATTCTCAAAGAGAGTCTCAGCCCTGGTCTAGAGGTGAGTGTGAAGGAAAGACTTGGATCCAAATCATTTTTAGTGTTTGTTAATGAGTATACAGTATATTAGCTTTGTTTGTCATTTTCACTCCTCCAGACATATTTTCCAAGTGTTGTCAGGTCTTGGTTCTAAAATGACTCTGACAGATGTTTTCATTTTCTTCCTCAGCCCCCTTACATTATCATTCTCTCACTCCTCTCAGGCTTTACTGATGTTTAACTAGCCATATAAGGCTTCTTTCCTTTCCATCGCTGTATGTGACTTGCTTCAGACTAAATTCAGGCTAAATTTTTTATCTGTCATTTCTTTTTCTCTCTGTCAATCAGCATGGACCAAAGTTGTCACTCTACCTGTATGAAATGCTCCATGATCACAAGGACAGCCTCACCAAAGACGAACAGAACGCTGTGGGTGTGTTTATGACCTCGCTCAAGCTTTGCGGCCATCGCTGCATTCCACCCAGTGCTCCACACAAGCAAGAGCTGCTCAAGGCAATAAAAGAGGTAAGTCCTGCGAAGACAAGCAGTTACTGTTAAAGGGAAAGAAAAAAAAGCATGTAAGCCTTTTTTTAAATCAAATCTTACTTGTTTGTTCGGTTCAACTGCAGTAAATGTCAACTTTTTGTGCAGATGTATCCATACAGTAAAATCTTTCAGGCTTTCTTTTTAGCAAGAAAAATGCATGATTTTGTTTCCTTTTAACTTTATATACACAGGAAAAAAGCAAGTATGAAGCAGAAGAAAAAACAAGCAAAGTGGCATGGGAGAAGAAAATGGCCAACACTCAGAGGAAGTGAGTTGGGGGGTTTTCTCTGATGTGGAATTGATGTGCAGTGATAGTTGTATCTTTGTTCCACTTTTTTATTCAAATCATTCTTTCCTATTCCCCTGCAGTCTTATCCAGAGGCTGGATGGAAAGTCAAAGGACATTTCCAAGATTGCAGCTGATGTCACTCAGAATGTGTCTCTGCGGCAAGGCATGGAGAGGAAGAAAGTCATCCAGCACATCAGGGGACTCTACAACCCCCCCCCCCCCCCGCCACTGGCAGGAACTGGTGCAACAACTCACACATGACCGGTGGGCATGGAAATTTATCTCTTACATGTATCAGAACAAGTTATAATACATTATTATGATCATGATGGGAGAATGGGAGCTAGTAAAAACCCGGACCCATGGTTAAATGACACTACCCATGCCCTGTGGAGACGTTGTAGACAGGCGGCGCGTAAATGGAGGAAGGATGGCCTGCACGTCTAGTCTTCTATCAGAAAGCTGTAAAAGATGCTAAAACTCAATATCTTTCCAATATTATCTCAAAAAGCAGTCACTGTCCCAGAGTTCTTTTCGGTACCATCAACTCAGTTATAAATCCTGTTACTGCTCTGGCCACCGAGGGGTCGGTCCAAACCTGTAATAAGTTTCAAAAGTATTTCATTGACAAAGTCTGTGATATCAGACAAAGTATTTCCAAGTTCCCATTTTCTGTACCACCAGTTTCTCCTGTACTTTACACTATGGAAACCTTCATTTTAATCTCTCTGCCTCAACTTAAAAAATATGTGGTGCAATTAAAGCCTGCTTCCTCCCCATGGATCCTGTCCCAGCCAGGATAATGAAGGAGGTAATTGACGCTGTGGGCCCCTCGCTGGTCGCGTTTTTAAATTGCTGCTTAAGGCTGGGCGCAGTCCCCACTGCCCTTAAGCATGCTATAGTGAGCCCGCTCCTGAAGAAGCCGAACCTGGATCCTTCTCTGCCGTCTAACTTTCGCCCAATTTCTCTGTTGCCTTTTCTGTCTAAGGTTATTGAAAAAATAGTTCTGACCCAGTTGCAGTCCCATCTGGATCGGCTGGATGCAGTCAATAAATTTCAATCAGGCTTTAAAACTCGTCATAGCACTGAATCGGCTCTCTCATACGTATTTGGCACCCCTCCCCCAAGACAAGAGCTGAGAGGTTACTCACGTTTGTTGCAAAAATTGCAAGTTCTGCAGGACATCTCCACGTTGTAGGAATCAGTGTATTGGTGGTTCGGGCAAACCTCACAATAAATTTTACAGGAGTTTTCTGGACGCCCGCGATTCATATGATATCCTAGAATATACAGCGTTGATTTACAGTTATAACCTGTTAGCATCAAAACTATGAAATGATTCATGGTGAAAAGATCGATGTACCTGGTCGGCACTTGTCACAGCAAAACTGTTGTGTCGTCACCGGCCATGGATATTGGTTGTCATTGCACTGACCGATGACATTCAGATTTATGTGCCACTGACACTGGGTGACAGTGGTGCACTTATCCTGCTGGAAAATTGCATACGTGACATAAAACTCTGGCTATCGCAGAATTTTCTGCACTTAAATGAGGACAAGACAGAATACATTGTGTTCAGCCCTGACTCTGCTGCTGTGGTACCTAGTTTAGGTGCCCTAGCACCTGCATGCACTGGCATTGTGAGGAACCTTGGAGTCATTTTGGACAGTGATTTTAATTTTGATAAGCAGATCAGATCCGTGGTTAAAACCAGTTTCGTGGTTAAAACCAGTTTTTATCATTTGAGGCTCTTAATGAAGGTGAAGCCTTTTTTTTTATCGTATGCCGATTTAGAAAAAGCCATCCATGCCTTCATTACCTCGGGCCTTGACTATTGTAATGCCCTCTATGTTGGAATCTCTCAGTCTCTTCTG